ATAAGTGGCCAAGGACTTGTTTGGATTGATTTGTAAGTAGTTTTTCAAACGTGATTTGCAGAACATGAGATAAGTATGTAAAAAAAAATTATCTCTATTTACATAAACTTATTTAAAAATCTGTTCAAAATAAAACTCCAACCAAGTCATAAGTAGTAAAGGATGTTCAAATGATGCTCACGGGGGATGGGGGAAAACAAAGTACAAAGACGCTCATAGGGCCATAGGGGCCCCTTACCTCATTCATTCATTAAAGGGAAAATTACATTCAAATCCTTAGAAATTGTGAAATGATTTTAAAATTTCTAGAGACCTGTGTGTAATTAATTCTAATTATCTTGATAATAAATGTTTTAAATGTTGATAGATGTTTATGTATGATGATATTTGGTATTTGTGACTTAATTTTATTCATATTTATGTCTTTTATTAATAATTTTATTAGTTTATTTGATTTTTTAATTAAAAAAAGTAAGAAATATGAAAAGTAATTTTCTTTCTTAAACTGACCAAAAGCTTATGAGCCGATCCTAAGTCTGTTGATTGGGTCCCCATTTGGTGCTCATCACCTGATGAGCAATCTGGACCCTCCAGATAATAATCTGGACGGTCCAGATTTAATATTTTTAAATAATTATTTTAAAATAGAAAAAACTATATTTTTAAAGAATGATAGTTAAGAGATTATCTTTATTTTTTATCCTATATCTATTAAAATAATTATTTTAAAAAAATAAAAATAAAAATAAAATCAGATCTGGACCATCCAAATCAGATCTGGACGGTTCAGATCTGATGAGCATTAGGTGCTCATCAAAACTGATGAGCACCCAATGCAAATCCCTGTTGATTTAAGAGTCAGAAATAGTAAATTAGAATATTTTTAAAATTTTGGTTATATAGAGTCCGCTCATATTTCTACCTCTACAAAAAGCCAAAAAGGTGCCGCCAAGTTAACATCTATCAATGTGTTGTCATTTTATGGCAGATGAATGGTGTTCCGGCTGCACACGAGAATTTCTCCATATCAGGTGCCTTTTTTTTTTTTTTGGAGAATCATCGAAAAAGTCTTAAGAAGAAATTTATTTACTAAAATTTTTTAATAATAAGAAATATGAAAAGTAATTTTTCTTTCTTAAACTGACCAAAAGCTTATGAGCCGATCCTAAGTCTGTTGATTGGGTCCCCATTTGGTGCTCATCACCTGATGAGCAATCTGGACCCTCCAGATAATAATCTGGACGGTCCAGATTTAATATTTTTAAATAATTATTTTAAAATAGAAAAAACTATATTTTTAAAGAATGATAGTTAAGAGATTATCTTTATTTTTATCCTATATCTATTAAAAATAATTATTTAAAAAAATAAAAATAAAATAAAATCAGATCTGGACCATCCAAATCAGATCTGGACGGTCCAGATCTGATGAGCATTAGGTGCTCATCAAAACTGATGAGCACCCAATGCAAATCCCTGTTGATTTAAGAGTCAGAAATAGTAAATTAGAATATTTTTAAATTTTGGTTATATAGAGTCCGCTCATATTTCTACCTCTACAAAAAGCCAAAAGGTGCCGCCAAGTTAACATCTATCAATGTGTTGTCATTTTATGGGCAGATGATATGGTGTTCCGGCTGCACACGAGAATTTCTCCATAGAATCATCGAAAAAGTCTTAAAGAAGAAATTTATTTACTAAAATTTTTTAATAATAAGTGATTAATTTGAATCTTTTGTTATTTCTTATCTTTAAATTTGTCAATAAATTTTAAAAAATAATTTTTTTGGGACTTAATTATAATTCTCTTTTTTTTCCCTCAAAAAACGAACTACCCGGGTGGCTTTTCCTCGCACGCAGGCCGCTGATTTTGTCATCCAGTTCTCGTTCAATTGGGCCTTCTCACGTGTTTTGAAGAGCCTAAACATTGCTGGTCAAAAAAAAAAAAAACAAGAAGAAGAGCCTAAACATTGGTTTATTTTGAGATGGAGATCGTTTTATCTCTGCAAAAAGAACAAATTTGCACAGCTGGCTTTTCTATGCTTCTGTGTCATTATCTTTACAAATATACGTTGCTTATCTAGTAAAAATAAATGTCCGGTTGGTACAAAATTGCACTCTAATTAAATATTTTAGGTGGGTGGGTGTACCTGTAAAATAATTTGAAATGATGACTGCGTCCTTACCCGAAATTAAAAAAAAAAGAAGAAGAGCCTAAACATTGGTTTATTTGAGATGGAGATCGTTTTATCTCTGCAAAAAAAAAAAAAATTGCACAGCTGACTTTTCTATGCTTCTGTGTCATTATTTTTACAAATATACATTGCTTATCTAGTAAAAATAAATGTCCGGTTGGTACACTCTTATGGTGTGTTTGGTATGAGGGATTTGGAAGGGATGGGAGGGAAAGGGAGGGATTTTAATTATTTCCCCTTGTTTGGCAACACACAAATTTTAGAAGGGGAGGGAAAAATTTTTAAAATTTCCCCTCCCCTTCCCTCTTCAACCTCCCCTCCAAAATTGGGAGTATTTGGAGGGAAATAGCAATATTTTGTCATATTATGACTATTATGCTCATATTTTGTCATGTTGTGACCATTATGTCTATATTTTGCCATGTTGTGACCATTATGCTCACGTCTTAAATAAAACAAGAGCAAAATTGTCCATATTAAAATATTTTTCCCTCCCCTCCCCTCTTTTTTTATAAATCCAAACAAAATAATATAAAATCCTTCCACTCCCTCCCCTCCCTTTCCTCCATTAAAACCCTCCCCTCTCCTTTCTCTCATTGAGCCAAACATACTTTTAGTGGACGGAAGAAATTGAAGCACATTAATTATATGGAAATAAAATTGCACTCTAATTAAATATTTTAGGTGGGTGGGTGTACCTGTAACAATAATTTGAAATGATGAGCGCGTCCTTACCCGAAATTAAAAAAAAAAAAAAGGAATAGAGCAAAAAATTGAATGAACTATGTCCTTCAGGCCTGCAGTGCAGAACTACAGATGGGCATTCTCTCTCACATTATTCGTTTTTGACCTGTCTCTTACAATATTAGTTGAATCCATTTTAATTCACTTGTCACGTCCGATTTCAATGGCGCGTCTCGTTTTTGTAGTTGAGGCATTCGATTAAAAAAAAAGAAAAGAAGAGGGAACTGTGTTGGGGTCTCACAAAAAATAAAATACCGCAAAAAAGTTTTGAGAACTTTAATAATTGCTTTCAAAATTTTAAAGGGATTTCACTGCAATAATAAAAATGTTAAGAAGATTTTATTAACGCTAGTACAGAAAAAGTACTGAAAAGAGAAAGTTATTAATATAGACTTTGATAATTGTCAATATTACTGGTTCACTTGTTAATTTATTTTGCAACATAAGATTGAAAAAAAGTGATTTCAAATTATATAATGAGAAGTAGTATTAAAATATCTTGTAGACTAGCACTTTTTAATGATAATGTGATGAAACATTGTTATTAAAAGTCAATTATCACTTATATAAAATTATGAAATTACTTGTCATTAAATAGCTCTTCATATCATAGCTAATAATTGACTTTTAATAACAATATTATATCACCATTATCATAAAAAATATTAGTTCACAAAATATGTCAATATATTTTTTATTATGTAACTTGAAATTATATTTTTTAAAAATTTATATCAACAAATAAATTCACAAGTGAATCAACAACATTGAGGACTATTACAAGCTACAATAACAATTATCGTGGCTTATATTTACAACCGTACCTTTTTAGCATTTTTTTTCTGTATTAGGAGCAACAATCTTTTCAAGTTTTTTTTATTATTTCAGTCAAGTCTTTTTAGGACTTCAAAGTAATTATCAGATTTTGAGAGACATTATTACAATATTTTGTCTTTTCCAAAAAAAATAATGATGCCATTCCCCGAACAACGTTCAAGGCATTAATTGGTGGTTATATATGTACTTTTTTTTTTTTTTAATCACACACACACATATCTGTTTTCCTTTCTCATAGGAAAGACCCTACAGTCTGCAGACGCTCGGAATTGAACCGGTGACGTCCCCAAAGCTTGGAACAATTATCTTTGGATGGGAGAAGAGAGTAAACAAATAAACAAGCGTTCCATATTTAAAATTCTAAGTGAAGACGTGCAACAAAAATAATAAATTCTCAATTAATTATCTGCCTCATGTAAAGAGAGCTTCTTCATGTACTCTTTTCAGTTCTAATTATATCAATTATATCATACGGTATATTTAGGATCAAATAATTTTTAAAACTTTACCCTGTAATTAAGACAAAAGGAGTCAGTGCTAGTTACTATAGAAGTGATGATAACGGCAACATACCAGATATCATGGCATGAGAGCAAATTTAATCACAATACTATAGGTTTGACATATCTAGCTATCAGCCATGTAATTATTATTGAAAGGCGAAAAAGAAAACATTTCTTAGCTCCAACCATACCCAATTTGATTTGATGTTACTTTTTTAAGGCGAGAAAGAATGATTTGGTACGTATACGAAGAATGATAGTCGGGTCGGGTAATTATTTGACATTCTAATTTAGTTTCTTAAGGTAGTGTTTGATATGAGGGAAATGGAGGGAAGGAGAGGGAAAAGAAATTTTAATAGGCTATATTTAAAAAATTGGAGAAGTAGGGTTTTAAAATCTCAATAAAGAGCAGAAGTAATATAAAATGGTAATAAAAATTAATTAAAAGCTTTTGACCTTATTTTTTTAAAAAATTTTTTTAAATCGAATTATTAAAATTTTCTCTCCCTTTCCCTTTTCTCATTTTTTCTCATACCAAACCGACCCCAAAATAATATTGACAACTGTAATATGTTGAACACTCCCCCCCCCCCTCCAAATAGGGACCAAAATGTTAACGATTCGAGGACCCAATCACCTAAATGCCATTCTCCATTTATTCAACCTTAAAGCTCTATAATATATGTTTGTTCATGTAATCTGTGATTATATACAGATGTTACTTAAGTAGACACCATATTTAATTTAATGAGATGTATCCATACGAACCTCATATCCTTTCCATTTTCTCTTCATTTCGAGAAGCATGCCGGCGAGGAGAACGGCCGCGGATTGTTTCTTCCTGATGATTATATTGTGTGCTTCCCAGATGAATTCTAGTGGATTTGAAATCCTATCATCTTCTAACTTTGGAATCGGCACATGGAAGAAGGAAATATGGTTCCCCCAAGAGGCCTTAGACTTGAGCATGTCATCGACAGATTGATAGACTTCGATGTTTCTTGTGTTCATCAGCACCAACGCAGTGGAGTTTGCGGCCCTGGATTTGATGTCTACGTCTTGCATGTACAAGCGAATCCCAAAGAAAATAACCCCAGTAATCACGTCATTTATTGTCTGTATATTAAATGCAAACCGAAGAACGATAAGTGATTAAGAGTATATAGATATATGTAAGCTAAAACACACGTACGCGCACGCATATCTAAGAAAAAACATCGACGGACCGCTCCAATTAGCCTGGACTTGACGAGTTTGATTTGGTCAAGGGAGAATTCCAAGGTTGATACAGTGAATGGAGGAATCTCAGGTCCTTCAATTCCAGACCTGATTGGTGTTTGGTCATCTTCATTGACACTGCTCTTCGATATGCTCCCCCAAAAATCAGCGAAAGTATGGAAGGCTGATGACATGGCCAAAGAAAATCTGTTGAAGAAGCTTTTGCGATGAGATTTTGCAGGTTTGAGGGGAGGGAAAGGCAAGGGAAGTGAGGGATCGTCGGCTCTTTGAAGACAAGAAAGAAGAGCACCCATCAGAGAGTAGCCATCTCCAAGAGCGTGGTGGAGTTTGAATATGAGGCTGCTTGCCGCACTGCTTGTAGGGTAATTCACGATGTGAATTTCCCATAATGGTCTGTTCTCTGGAAGCTTCTCTGATGCTATTTTGGACATGTAATCCGAAAAATACTTGTCATATAATTCATCTGGCTCGCATTCAGGGAATGAAGGGATGTTAACATGATCTTTCAAGTTGACTTCCACTTTCTCCCATTGTTTCTTCCCACTCATGTCTTCAACCTGCTCTCCATCAACAACATATTATTATTGCCGCCGGTTAAATATAAAGCGTAATCAAATTTTTAATTACTTCCAATTATGAGAGAGAGAGAGAGAGAGAGAGAGAGAGACAGAGAAGGAATAAGACCATGATGGAGGAGAAGCGAGGATTGACAGGAAGAAAGAGGCGCGTCAGGAGAGGAATGGCTTGTGATTCATCGAAAGGAACCTCGAATTCCAAAACGCCAACAACGTAAATACAGAGCACAGAGCTGTTGAAGTATTGTCCAATAGGACTCACTGGTACTGCTGCTTCTTCTTGATACTGCTTCATCACCATCTTTGTGCTTTCTGTCACATTCGCCCTCACAACTCAGTTAATGGGTTTGCGAAGGCACTCTAAAGCATGAGCACACATGATGAGGACAAGCTCATACTCATACATATATATAGATATATACTAAAAGGAATGCTATTTAACTTTGATTTCATGATTAAATCTTGTCATGGATATATGCGTATATCGACTCCCTCAAGCCTTAAATGCAGAACTTAATTAGTTGAGGGAGTGACGAAATTGTCTCTCACCTTCCCTAAGATTTTCCTCATTTCCCAAATATTTTTTCTTGTTTCTTTTTATCATTGGTATTTATATAATATAAATGACATTTTGATATTTTGTGAGGAAAAAAATCACGCAATTTTGATTTTTTTTAAACAATTTTTCAAAATATTTGTAGCTAAATTAAAAAGAAAGCAGACGATTCTAAAAGATTTTTTCTTTAAAAAATCATAAAAAATTTAAAACTATATCGAGTTTTATGTATAAGATATCAAAATGTCACTCAATTTATGTAAAATCTAACAATAAAAAAATTAGAAAAAACATTTGAAAAGTGAGTTAAAACTAAAGGGCAGAAAAGGGGCCATTGAAACTCCATATCTCTTGTTTTGTATTAAATGTAAGATACCAATTAACTTTGTTTTTTAAATTTATAATTTTTTTAAGGTATTGCACATAATAAAGGAGGATTTCATTTTTATTAATGAGGTAGTTTTAATATATATAGTTAAAGGGGGCATTTTAAAGAAGCCCATACATCTTTTTTATAATTACTAACTAAGCTAATCTTATTAATCTCCATAAATTAATAATCTAGTTAGGAGCTAATATTATTTCATATTCGAACCAATGAAAGAAAAAAATGACTTAAAAGGGACAAGATAGTAGCTTATTAATAAAACTAGTCGCTATATAACAACAAATGTCCCACAATGACGTTCCGGAGAGGAGAGAAAACAAGTGGAAGCGAAGCGTTAGAGGTAGGGGTGGAAACAGGCCAGGCGGCCTGTCAGGGGCCTATGGCCTGGCCTGTATTTGGCCTGGCCTGGCCTGGCCTGTTTCCCAAAAAAGACAGGCTCAGGCCTGTTTGAAGGCCTGTTTAGTTAAACAGGCCAGGCTTAGGCTTTTTAAAAAGCCTGTTAAGCCTGTTAGGCCAGCCTGGGCCTGTTAAGAATTTATAATTATAATATATATAAAAATTAATTAACGCTATTGTTGTTAATGTGCTCTTTTAATTTATTTTTTAATTTTAATATATAGTTAATAGCTTAATCTTTTCTTAGATTTTGAAGTTTAGATGACAAGTGAAGATAAAAATATAATTTAAAATAATAATATTAATAAATAATGTGATTTTTAAATCTTAAAATATTAAAAAAAATAGGAAAGAAAAATTTTGTTTCAAGAATGATAAATTAACTAACTTACGTATTATGTTAATTTAAGTATGATATCCTCTTTATTCATTATAAAATTAGTTTTTTTCCTCTTTATTTATTTGTCTTAATTTTAATTTTTTGTGTGTACTTAAACGTAGTCTTATTCTAAATTTTAACATATAATTACAATTAGTTTTCAATAACATTCTTATAAATTATAATTAAGATTTAAAATAGTACTTATGATACTAAAATTTAAATAAAAGATAAGACTAAAAATTTAATTATTATGTACGTTTTTTTTAATCTTAGCTTTTTAAAAAAAATAATAATTATAATTTGAATTTTTTAAAAATACAGGCCTTTTAACAGGCTTCAGGCCAGGCCAGGCCTTTACACAGGTCAGGCTCAGGCTGAAAAATAAGCCTGTAACAGGCCACAGGCCAGGCTCAGGCCAATAGGCTCCAAAACAGGCCTGGCCTGTTAAGAGCAAAGCCTGGCTTGGCCTGGCCTGTTTCCACCCTTAGTTAGAGGTCATATTCATTTTCATGACTGAAAACTGCCTTCAACCTCCAACTCCGTTTTCTAAATGAAGTAAATTCTCTCATTTTGCAAAAAAAGAAAAGAAAAGAAATTCAAGAAATAATATCCTCTTTTTTTAGGTATATATATTCTCCTAGGTACTAAATGTTTGTTGGAATGGCATAAAAATAATTTTTTATTCATAATTTGCGGAGTACAAGGTAAGTGTGCAAAAGTAATTTTGCCTCTGCTCATGTAAAAATAATTATAAGTATTTATAAATCATAACTCCAAACAAGTCCTAGATGTGGATACATCTTCTAACGTGGATTTAAATTTTAATTTATTATATTGTAGCTTGTAAAAGACCAACTCTTTCCTCTGGATCCAATAATCTCTTTATGTTCTGTTTTTCGTTTTTTTGGTAGCCACAGGTATCCTCTCATGGGAGAGGAAAGAAGTGGAAGTGAAGTGTTAGAGGTCATATTCATTCTTATGATTGAAACTGCCTTCAACCTCCAACTCCCCCGTAAACCCTTTCTAGAAAATCAAGAAATAATCTCCTTTTTTTTTTTTTCAAGGTATAGATATTCTCTTACTAGAGGCAATGTCAGGTATTAAGAATTTGTTGGAATGGCATAAAAGTATATTTTTAATCATGATTTACGAAATATAAGGTAAGTGTGTAAGAATAATTTTGTCTTCACCCACATAAAAGTAATTATAAGTACTTAAAAATCACAGCTCCAAATAAGCTTTAAATGTAAATACATCTCTTAATGTGAATTTAAATTTTTATTTGTTATGTTGTAACTCATGATAGGCTAACCCTTTTATCTAGACCCAATAGTGATATAATCTCCTTATGTTCTTTTTTTCTCTTTTTTTTTTTGTAGGCACAGGTATCCCGTTATTAGAAGCAATCTTGTTTAAGACACTTTCGGGTACTAAATGTTTGCACATCTCTCAGCTGGTATTCAAATATTAATTCACCATATTATGAAAGATTAGCCTCTTCTACTAGACCTAATTCCTATTAGTTCCTCCTGTTCTTTTAATTAAACCAAAGATCAAATTCATTGGACGTCTTTTATTTAATATTTACTTCCTTAATAGGCGGTCCATAAATCAATAATGTGCGCAATTGATAAATTTCGACCACAGCCATACACCATCACAGGCAACTACGGAGACACGTAGGCCTGTTAAGGGTTTCTTTCAGAAGACTTGGTCCCTTTTTTTTTTTTTAAAAAGCATTTTTATTTTTAATCAAAACCAGAGTGTTCTTTTCTTCCTCTTCAAGGAAAAAACCCCTTGATTATCAACTCAGTTATACGTCGGCCCAACATCAATTCTGATGGGCTGCAAATTGCCCCAGTTTAGCTACATTTATTTTGAGCATGGCCACAGGCCGACGAATTATATTATATTTTATTTAAAAAAATTTACATCGTTTCTTTAATATTTAGATCTCATAAAAAATTGAAGGAATATTGAATAGACTGTGTTGATGATGGAGACAGAGTTCATAAATGTATAATATATATCATCCTCTTTCTGCATAATTAGCATTATCAATGACGGAATACTCTCCAAAGCTATATTAAAGTGTTTTTTCATATATAGTTACTTATTAAATAAAATATGTAGCTGGCCTCATGTCATCATAGCAGGTAATCTTCAACCTTCAAATCAAATGAATGGAGAAGACTGGGAATTCAAAGAGATATATAAATATATAAACTATAGAGTTTCCGTTTAGCAAGTAATCTTCAACCTTCAAATCAAATGAATGGAGAAGATTGGGAATTCAAAGAGATATATAAATATATAAAATATGGAGTTTCCGTTTAGTTAAAATAAATCCGATTATATCACATTGGTGGACACAAACTGAAACCACTGGCTCTGAGGATCGTCCAGACACGAAGGATCAGAATCGGCACAGATGCATTTGGCGGCGGCGACGGAGGACGAATTGGCATCCCTCTGCAAGCACAATCGATTCCCTTGTGCGTCCACCGAAGCCCGGTGCATGCCTGACTCTGTTATGAGTTTCCATGAAGTTTGGTTCGTGTTTGAGCAATCCGCCGCCGTGAGCTCCACTGGTTGGCCTTCCACAGTTGCCTCCAAACACTCCGCTTCCTCCGCATCCTGCAATTTGATCTGTGTTCCTTCCACACTCCACCCGCTTGCCCCGTTACAGTCTTGCACTTCCACTTCATCACCATTCTCCTTCCTCTTCACGCGCTGCCCACTTTATGGGTGATACAGTACCTGCGACATGGCCTTCTTCGAACTTGGGTCTTGGTATATAAGGAAAGAACAGTTAATAACTAAGAAACCGTTTCGAGTTGAGATGAAGAAACACATGCATATATATATATATAAACATATATACCTTGGAGTGTTTGGAGTATTAGCTGGAACCTGTTAGGGAAGTCGGGGTAACTGAGTGTTTGCCACTGGAAGTCCAACAATCCATAGGACTCTCCTGCGTTGACATTGCCTTCTCTGAGATAATAGCTTCCTTGCAATCCCCACTAAGCCCAACCTAAGTCATTGACGGCCAGGTACGCTAAAATGCAGGACAACCATGCACCGTCCGTCGGGTTCTGCTATTAATGGTGAGATTGGGATGCCATATTCGGTCATCAAAAGAGGAGCAGCGTTGGAGCCGGTGACGAGGAACGTAGCATGAGATTTTAACTCGTTGTACTTTGCCATATTCGTCTTGGAGCCTGGCAACAAGGGGACGGATCATACGACTACTTACATAATTCATCTGTGTGCTTACTACTGCAGACTGCAGATATGCTCATGTGCTTAAGTAATTCGGCACATTTTTCTTCACCATTATTACAAATAAAATATCCAGCTTCGATTATTAATGACAAGAGTCACTTACTTTTCCTTTACATCTATATGTGTCACAATATATTTTTGACCAAAAAAAAAGTGTCACAATATATAGTTCATATTTTCAAGTAAAATTATAATATTTGCATTTATAGGTTGTTTCAATGCGACATATAATATGATAATATCCTGTGCTGTACTCAAATGAATTAATTATCGAGAATCGTAGGGAGCACCGCTATCGCTATTTGCTGGCACAGAGGGGACATTTTGCTAAATGATTATATTTTAAATTGAATTATTTCTTTCCGTGGCTAGCTTTCTCTTAAAAACTTCGGCCACTTAGCTTGGAAAAAAAAACAAATTGATATTAT